CAGTGATAGCCATGCTAACTATGTAGGGGCAGTGCTAGCCATGCCAGTCCAGGGCCTGACCAGTTCTACTGTAAGGTCCCTTGGTCAAGGTCAGTGATCAGCGTACCTGACACAGAACAACCAGACCATGCACATTGCTATAGGTTAATATTCTATATTAATTACGCTATGTTTGCTTCCAAAAAAAAATTCCACCATCTCCCTTTTTTTTAACAACTAGACTACTGAATGTATACAAGCTTTTACCTTCTACCAGAAGGTTGAGAATCCCTAAAACTAAACTGAACCGCTTTAAAATACCCCTTTAAAACTATCTTGATCAAATATATATAGATCAAAATTAAAAATAGATTATAATAGATATATTGCAGAGAAATGGGAAATATGCAACAACTTGGTGTTCTTGTTGATTTAGTATTACATGTTATTTTTAACCCCCCCATTGCTCCCCAGGCGCCACACAGTGGCAGCCCACTGCTCCCTAAAGGGATAGGTTAAATACAGAGGTAAATTTCTCCAATATGAGATCAGTAAAGTTAAATCTTTATTTATTATCATATTTTTGTGCATATGTAGCAAACGTGTACATCCTTAGCTGGTATTTGTCTTTTACGTGTGTTTACTGTTTCTAATGGAAGCTACTACAATGCATTACGCAGTTTTGAGTCCATAACAAATTTCCCCTAGATCAGGGGTCTTCAACGTTTTCCAGGCTAAAGACCCCCAAACTGATGGCAAGCGGGGACCCCCTAATTATATATATATAGTATAAAATAGTGTTCTATCAAACTGGTCCTATAGTCACTCTATTACAGATGGAGTAATGTAACAAAAGTAATCCCTCCCTGGGATTATTAAAGTATTTCTGATTCCTGGTTGATGGGACAGGTGTTGTGAATGAAACCGTGCCCAGCTTGAAAGAGCTCCTGTGTGTCGCTGAATGTGACTGAAAGACATCTTCTGCCTCCATTTATGTTTACTACAGTCTGTTGAATTCATGTTAATGTGGATTTAAAGACATTTTAATTAGTGGAATATATTTCGGGGGGGAAATTTAAAAAAAAGGGGTTTAATCAACAAAAACTTTCGGAACCCCCGAGTGGTCGCGGACCCCCTTGTTGAAGACCTCCGCCCTAGGTGGACAACAAGATACATTCTATTCTATTCTTGCATCTAGAAGCAGCAACAGATAATCTATCATCCTGCTCACCTGTTTATGTTGTGCTGTTTTTTGTTTTGTTTTGTTTATAGTCCAGAGGTAACAATAAGCCCACCTCCAAAAGCGTTATATATTTAGTCTCATCTTTGCACAGATTTATTCCCTGAAGTCCTACATGACATCAAGAGGTTTTTTGGTAAATGTGGGACAGACCTTTTTTCTATCTTTGTAGCAGTTTTTTTTTTTGTTTTCCTCTGATTTTGATTTTTTTTTTTCAATCTGGACAGGGTTTATTATTACTAAGAGCTTTTAGCCTACTTCATGGTGTCAGACAGGTGACCCAGCTTCAGACCAGGTGAAGCAACTGATGTCACTTTACTTCTGTATTTATTCACAGCCCTGTTTGGACACATTCATTATATATCTGTTTGGGTTTTTTTCAGACCTTTAGATGATGATGATAATCTCCTACAGGTGACCCTCCTGTGACCTCATACAGCAAAATATATGTCAAAGTTTCTGAGCAGGTCACTGACCTCAGCTGAACCACACTGGTTAAACACCAGTGGAAAACAGAAGCAGGCTTTAACTGGGCCAGAGTTTAACCAATCAAACCTGGATCGTTTTGTCCGATTGAATCCAGTCAATGATTCAACGCAATCAGCTGGTTTTCCTTAGATAGAAAACTTTGAATCAATCTGACTGGATGATCTGATTAACTGTAAAGTGCCTTGAGATAATATGTGTTGTGAATTGGCACTAGAGAAATAAACTGAATTGAACTTAAACCTGGAGCGTTAGTGTTAACTGGGCTGCACTGAGCTACAGGAGAGAAGATGCAGACTGTGTGCCTTAGCGATGCTTGCTGACCAGCAGGAAGGAAGATCTGTGCTGATAACAAACGGGAAGAGTCGAATTATTTATCCATAACCTCACTGGGATACGCAGTTATTACACCGTCGGGTTTCTGAGCAGATGACAATTACATGGTGTAAAACTTTAAATTTTTTTAGATGCATAATAGATATAAAACGCATCTCACCTGTAGAGCGAGGTGGGTTTTTATTAAGTCTAGAGGAAGGAAATTAAATTTCAGTGTTTTTTGAGTAAGTATATAATTAGTATCTGGAGTATAATGTATTCAATTTATTAAATGCAGCAGTGATCAAATGTAAACAACGTGGGAGAAAAAAAAATCTTTGCATTGATATGGAAGTTCAGAGAATTAATATATATGGTGCAAATATGCAGTATTTTTGGTTTGTGATGCAGTCTGACACGATTTAGAGCCCCCCCCCCCTCACTAAGCATGCTTGTAGCGACAGTGGAGAGGAAAAACCTTCTTTTAACAGGAAGAGACCTCGAGCGGAACCAGGCTCAGTGTGAGCGGCCATCTGCTGAGGCCGACTGGGGACAGAAGCAGGCCGACCAGAGTTTTAAATACAGAAAGATTTATTAAAAGTAATATGTACAGTATACACATATAAATATAAAAATAGTTCTGTATGAACAGCTCATCTGGTCAATTGAGTCATAAACCTTTTAATATAAAACAAAACAAAGATAAAAACACAAACACACTTCAAAGAAAGATAACGCTTGAATAAACAGGACTTTATAGAAGTTAGCTGCCATTTATCATTTAGATGTTGATGGAGTTGAAAAAAAATAAAGTTTGTTTAAAAAGAAAATGTCTTGCTTTAAAAAAAAAAATTATTTGGAAGAGCCAGTTAGGTCCTCAGTTTTTCTATCAGTGTGTTTTTTAATGGAATATCAGAGCAAGTTAATAAAAAAAAGGCACATTTTTTAAACTAGGGTGACGTTTTAAAGAACCCCAGTAATCTGAAGAGGCGGAAAAAAACGTCTATATTAGAGAAACATTCCTGAATTACTCCCCTGTTAGGGACTCTGCTACTAAATGTGCGCCATAAATACAGGTTTTGGTACGGATGTTTATCTCTTTCTGTGGCATCTTTAATGGGAGGATCGATACGCGCATTACAGCTACTGCAGAAATGTTAAACTAGAATCAGTGGAAAATAAGATTAGCTTTTCACAGTGAAGCAAAAAAAAATTTATCAACACGTTTAATTAATTTAACTTCCTTTTCTGAAACTGTGCAGATTTATTTTGCCTGAGATAAGGTGGGAAAAGTGCTAAAGCTGCTGAACAGACTTTATACACTCGTTTATCGAAAAGATGAACAAATAAGGCAGATTCCTGCTGTATTTTCACTCCTTACAGGAATGTTATTCTTAAAGGTGTAGAATTCTATAAACTATAACAATATTAAAGTTATTCGTTTGAAGGTTTGTTTCAATAGGGCGGATTCAGGTTTAACCTTGAATTTGTCGATTCTAAAACCAGTTTAGAAGTCAGTTTGGGATCGTTGTCCAGTTAAACCAGTCAACTGTGTCCAGGTTTTTAATTTCTAGCTGTGAGGGGGAAAATGTGGAGGGAAATCTTCTTTATGTGGTTCACAAGTACCACTGGCAGCAAAGCAGACCCTCAGCACCACACTTCCAACACCTTGCCTTACAGTTATTTTAGTTTTAAAAGCATCAAATCAACTTCTCGTATGTCGCTGTGTCCAAACGGAGCAGAATGTTTCTCCAGGACATCGGGATTGTCTATGTGGGGAGTTTTAGTTGCATTTGAAGGTGTCAGCTTCGGATCTTGGATCTTTTTTGTGGACAAGGAGTCTGCTGTGAAAGCGTCCACCGCCTGATGATTTCTGGGTTAGCACCTCCCATTGCTCTGAAGGAAACATTTTGACTCAGATGAGGCAGTTTGGGGTTCCAACAGGACATTAAGCCCAAACACAAAGGTAAGGAAGGCTTTCCCAAAATCCCACGTGCTTTACCTAAAAAAATCTGGGTCAACCCTTCATCTAATCCTGCTTGGAGGAGCAGCTAAAACTCTGAACAGAAACATGTTTTTGTTTCTTAAAATTGTCCCAGAACATTTTTATTGTCATACTGGGATTCCTGTATTTTGCTGAACTTGTGTGAATTGGACAAAATCTGCAGTAAAAGCAAAGTTCTGCAACAAACATAAGAAAATATCCTAAAATGTATTTATCTATTAATGAAGCATGGTTGGCAAAACTGCTGAAGATGTTTTCAACGTTTTATAACATGTAAACATGATGAATTAAAGGCGCAGGTTATGAAGCTGCTGCCTCTTCCCTGCCTTCATCATTTCTGCTGGTAGGTGGGACTGTCGAACCCGCTGTCCTGCTGTCGCTCCCTCAGCTCACCGAACAGAACCCTGAAGTGAGCCTGCTGCCAGTTTTCACACTCTGAGCCGGGGATCGGCTCTCTGACCAGACTCCTCTTTGCTTGAGCATCCTTTTCGGTCATAGGCGTCTGTTTGGGAATCTCCTGATACACGGTTAGGTCTGAACCATCTGGTGTGAGGCCCCCAAATGCTCCCATTTCACTCACAGTCAAAGGCCTCAGTGGTTCAACTCTCCTCCGGTGGTGTGACGTTCTGGCTACGTTTGGACCAGAGTCTGAGTCACTGCTAGCCAGGCTCCAGTCCGCCTGCTTCTCATCTCTGACTGGAGCCTCCTGGACGAGGAAAGGTCGGCTGTGTCCGGCTGATTTTGCGCGGCTAACTGCTTTGTTTGAGTCGCCTCCTTGCAGAAGCCAGTCGGAGATTTTACCCGTCGAAGACGAAGCGACAAAATCCATGTGCTGTTGGGAAGATGTCTGCTGAGATTTGTAGGAAGGTGGGATGGTATTAAAGGTTTGGGGTTTTGACCCTGCGGCGTCTGAACCCTCCTGAGGGGCAGAAGTGTCCTGGTGGATTAAAAGTTTGCTTCCAGCTGCTGCGTTTGGCTTCAGCCCTGGATCCACGGAAGCGTTTACAGGTTGCTGCTCTGGCCTCAAATCAGGAAGTTTGTTTAGTGCCGCCAGGTTGGTACTGAAACCAGCGCCTCCAGCTGGCAGGCCTCCAGCGGCGTTAGAGGATCCACCCGTCTGACAGCCTGCTGACACAAAACACAGACGCTGATCCCAGCAGATGTTTTTTATGACGGAGTATCAGGGCCAGGCTTGAGATTTTTTAATTTTGAGAATAAAGTCGTAACATTACGAGAATAAGGTCGAAACATTACGAGAATAAAGTCGTAACATTATGAGAATAAAGTCGTAACATTACGAGAATAAGGTCGAAACATTACGAGAATAAAGTC